TCAGAAAGTCTTGCTAGATACTCGGAACCTAGGAGGATACTCCAAGTGGACAGATAAATTTACAGGACCATTCACGATCTCAGCGGTGATAGGCAATCGGGCTTACCGCCTTGAACTTCCGGTAGAATGGAAGGTCCATGATGTATTCCACGAGATGTTGTTGCGGCCCTATCGCGAGGACCCAGATCCCACTAGGCAGCAAAACACACGAAAACGACTAGCAACACCTGAGCCACAGGAGGCATTGGCGGATAAAAACTTCCAACCAACCTCGAACATACGACCCCATACGCGAAGTCGAGGCCCAGCGATCGATAACGAACGGGCTCACAAACGACAACGGAATAGGCGGGACTAAGCTCGATACCTTTCCCTACTCTATGACCTTTCCCACAGGGTTTTTATCATAGAAGGGTTTTAACGGTCGAGGGCGAAGTCTAGGAAGGGGGAGTAGTTTTACAGGAGCTACGGAGCGCTGTCCTAGAGGCGTAGGACAGTGAGGAATATGAGTGACGGGTTGTGATGCGAGGACGGTCGGGTAACGAAAGGACAAGCATAGAAAGGTATCGGGTAGTGTGTGGGCACGCGGTGTTACCACACTAGTATTATACTATTATGACGGCACGCTTACTATTGGGTGTCTCACCCGAAATAGAATAGGAAGCGGGGCTTACGGCTGTAGGCTGTTCTACTTAGGGAAGTAGGTATAGGATAATAGTATGGTACAGCCCGGTGACTGGCAATTGCAAGGTTCATGGTTACGTATCGGAATTAGAATGGAGGACGGAACTATGCGGGGGCGCTTTTCTATCTGGGTTATCTTCGGGAGCATCATCTTATTCTATTATCGTTGTATCAGTTAGTATTAGAAAGCGGGCCTTGGCATAGGTTCCAACATGTATAAATAGGTTCCAACATGTATAAATAGGGCAGGATTCTCCGAAGACTTGGGGGTATCATCAGCCATCAAGTCAAGGGAATCCGGTTTACAATATCATCAGTTTAAACGCTACAGAATTATTGCTTAGCACTGGCCATTTCCCCAAACAGTAACTTAACTTGAATCTGTAATGGATTAACAATATTGAGGAAATTTAGTTTGATTTCCTTGTCTATTTAGACGTAGTTTAAATGGTATATATGTTAGCAAACCTTTGTTTGGTATTGTAACCTGAGCGGAGTCTACGCTAGAAAATGTGCATGTCGAAAGTGTTGGCCCCTAGCCCAACACCAAACCCTCCCAGATTATATAGACCACATCTCTCGTTGTATCAGAAGTTCTTTTAACGTATTGTTTCGTATGATTTCAGCCTATGTACTTTTGACGGTCCGCAAAAGACTGTCGGGCTTAAACCGTCAGGCGAAATTGAAATCAACGGCACTCAAACCCTTTACTGTAGTCGTGATGAAATCGACTGATACAGCTCGACAGATGTCTTTCTAATGTATAAAACCTTTTTAGTTTACAACACTGCGGCAGTCAGGGTTAGGGTTGTAAGTTTTACAAATTCACTGGTCCGGAACCAACTCGCACTACCGAATGGATACAATACGAAAAAACGGGGTGAAATCAGTACTGTATGACTACGGGATTCAGTGAATAATACGGAACCAAACCGGCATTACAAAACGAACACCGTAGCAATGTTGTATTCTTACTGCATTTTGTACAGCGGTGGGTAATAAGTGATCAGACAGAAGGCCACCAAAATACGCGTTTGCAGGCAAAATTGTGGCTAGGTCGTCCGATGACTTAATACTCACCGCTGTACTAGCGCACTAACGGGAATAATGTAGCGAATCCATAGCCCTTTTTGGTATTATAGTAAAAGCACAGCAAATGCACAGAGAGACCGACCGGACCAGACCATTATATATCAGCTCTATATGTAACTAGCGAGCTTCTCACCAGAATAAAATAGTACATGAACCTATCCCCTTAATTTCAACATACGAATTACCCGAATAAGTATCGTGGGGCACAAGATTTATAGTTGCAAAAAGCTAAGTCGTGATTGGGGATGGAGCCAGCGCTCCTGATCATCATCTGAAATGGGCCAAGGTGGTTGCGCAGCGCGCGATCTGAGCGATAACTACCTCAAGATGGGATGTTGTGACATCACCTCACCTCCATAGGAGCTTTCTTTCAAAGTAAGCCTTTCAAATCCTTTAAATAGACGATCAATATCACATGAGGTATATATATTAGGCGTGTATTTTCTATAAACATAGCTGGGGGATGCTGGGGGTCTTTTCTTCATCAGGTATACTCGCTCTCTACAAATACAACATATACTGTGTCTTTCTTTTCTTCTTTCATTTTTCTTTCTTTTTTTTTGTTTAATTCATTAGAGTCTTTCAGTGCAACCCTGTAACCCATTTTCAGCCAAGAATCAATGAAGCTATTGACGAAGAAGGCATAGAGGAAGACCTTGCACTGTGTATTTCTGTTAAAGTGACATGTCAGCTGCAATGGTAGCGCAGGCTTGGCTGCATGAGTTTCCCGTTCATTTTGAAAATGGGTTACAGGGTTGCACTGAAAGACTCTACTCGTATTTCGCTGACGTTTTTAAAAAGGGCCGGGTCCGCATGGTAGGTGCAGGTAGGTACAGGTGTGAATGATCCAATAGTAAGTACAGAGCTCGATCATAATAAAGTAGGTCAAAAATTGAAATTGTTTCCCCCGTTGTCTGCAATACACGCCTCAATTCTCCTTGACATTGACAGTACGTGCTGGTTGATTTTATCTACTGGGTAATTCCTCCATTCATTCACTACTACACGTCTGACAGCGGCTGCAGTGAAATCCGCTCCTATTTCAAGTTGGTTCTTGATACTGTCCTTCATTTCCATCCATATCCGTTCAATTGGATTTAGGTCAGGTGAGTTTGCAGGCCAAATAAGTTTGGTTGTACCCAATCTCTCATGGGGATAATCATGATAGCGGTGAACATGTGCAGGTGCATTATCCTCCATTATTAATACACTATCCCCGGGCCGTTGTGCCATCTTTTGAAGAACAAATGGATATAATTCAGGGTTTAAAATCCGTTCTCGATATATAAACCAATCTATACCCCCTTTTCTGTTTCTACCACGCGTTTTGAGCTCGGGATTTCTATCTAAATAGTCCCCATTAGCGTGATAGAAGGCTTCCTCTGTTAATTCTTGCTTATATTCGCGTTGAAGTTGAACTTCTGCCTCTAGTTTCTCTCGAGGTGTCTCATAAGGTGTTTTGTAGATGTGAAAAGGTAGCTGGGCACCACTGTGATCAAATAGAATACCGCCCCAAAACATAACCGTAGAGCCAGTGGCAAATTGACGGTCGACATTACGAGAGACATAAGCCTCTCCTGCTCTTCTTAATACGCCTCGTGCCCGCCTCCTCCGCAAATTGCCTGTTTCGAGGTACGTTTCATCTGTGAAAACAACGAGTCGCCAGTCTTGAAACCGGTATCTTTGACAAAATTCTAGTCTCTTTGCTTTCCGGCCATCGTTGAGGAACGGCTTTGTCGTGGGCTTCCTTCTATGGATTCCATCTTCTGCTAGTACCCGTTGGGCTGTATCACGACTTATATCTAACCCCGCTGTTGTCCATTTAAGTTAATTATAATCAAACATTTGTGGGTCACCAGTACACTATCAACACATACCTTCTCTTGCTAGCTGTGCAAAGGTCATCCGGCAATGCCTGTAGTCAGAGAGAGTAAGCGCAATTAAGGCCTCTTTCTCTTCTCTTGTAATGACCGCATTACAACCCCTCTCGGTATTTGGTTTTGGTGCAAGGGTTTTATCTGAACAGAGATCCACAATCCCAATTTCTCGCGATCTTCTCCTTGCTTCGCTGATGATATTACTGCAGGTTGATATTGTTACTCCTGTATTGGCAGATATCTCTGCCAATGTCATTCTCCGGGCCCCTTCAAGTGAAGCCAATGCAACAATTTGACCTCGTTTGGCCATGGTCGTAGTCTTCCTCCGTACATTCAGCATCGTGTAGTAACTGTTTTCTCCTATATTCAAGTTTGAACGCGTGCCAGTTTCTCTTAGTACCTGCCAGTGACCTACTTTGATATGATTGATCTTTGTACTTACTATTGGATCGTTGGCGCATCCAAGACACCTGTACCTACTACCTGCACCTATCATGCGGACCCGGCCCTTTTTAAAAACGTCAGCGAAATACGAGTATTAACTACATATGCTTTGTCTCGCTACAGTAAGTGTTTGCGAAGGAAGGACTGGCAGCGCGACCCTTAAGAGTCAAAATAATCTATTGGTCACAAGGTGAAGCTGCAAGAGACATTTTGGCTTTATAACTGCGGTTAGTGGACTACATTGCTATAACATCTTTTGTACTTATAAGGTTTCTATTTTCATCTGCAACTACCGGCTCGCAGTATAAGGATGGCTGTGAGAGGTGATATAAATTCTCGCGGGTGAGTCATGAGCCGTCACTCGTTTCATCAATGAAATACGTTTTTGAAATTTGGCCTCCGGTTCTAGGACAATAGGTGGTCGCTATACATATTGCCTGAAGTAATGTAGGTGACTCTCCTGCGGATATGGTACCGTGGAAGCTTTTATTTTTGTGTCGCTTTGCAGTCTTTGCTATCTCTTATAACTATATTTTCTAGCACTGTGTTAAGACAACGGGTTTGGTTGTCTCTTTGGTACGTGTTTGGTTATCACGTCTTTAAGTCAACGATACAATCCGGTTATCCTGTGTCTCTTATCTAACCGCCGCCTAAAAAACACTTTACTCCTGAGTGACAGCGAAAGCTGTGCGCGGATAAGGACGGAACCTATAGGACCGGAAGTGAAAAGGGATATACAAATATATCGTTAAATCTTAGGGTCTATAGGTCATCTCATATTCGGCGTTACTTGATCAGCGTCCATTTATTATTATTTTCAAATATACTAAATTATTACGTTAAACGCACAAGAACACAAGTAATTTTAAATCATCAACAGCCCCCGAGAACATGATACCCTGATTACGCACCACAGTGAATCGGTATCGGATTGTACCCGCTGAACATACAGCTTGGATCCCATTTCCTCTTCAAATCCTTCAACTTCGCCTGCCGCCACTTCTCATACCCGTAAACGGCACCGAAGCCCTCCGTGCCCTTTGCGTAGTTCATGTAAACTGCCGGCCTATCGAAGCCGCTGTCGGCATGCAGAATCGCCATGATCTCATTGACCCAGTCATCCGCCGCTGCATCAAGTGTGGCGTTCTTGTATGAGATACTGAAGAGACTGTGTATTCATCTGATCAGCAATGCTAATACCAAGGGGGGTGAGCCAAGACATACATGATACCTGTCTCTTCACGCCATGGATAGGCCGTGGTCTCTGCCGGCACAGCCTGAACACCCTTCACAGAGTACGACTCGAAGACGACCACCGCGCCCGCCCACGCAGGATCCGCAACGAACTCTGCGAACTTTTCGTACACAAGCTGGATCGATGGGAGGTGCCACCCCTTTGTCGACACGCCGCTTAGCTCCTTTCGGGCGCGGCTTTCACAGGCGGATTGGCTGATACTCATGCCATTGGCGCTGGCCCAAGGCAGTACCAAGTCATTCATTGAGAGGTACGGGATGTGGCCAAACACGGAGTCCAACTGAGCGCGGGCAGCAGCTTCAGGAATGGAAGAGACAAAGTTCACAAACAACCGTGGCTTTACACCGTCAGTATTCGGATCATGATGGTGCTGCACATGCACCAAGCCGGTTAGATAGATGGGAAGAAAACACCCACCTCTATGGTCACCGGATCGACAAAGAACGCGACCAGGATAGTAGTCTCAGCCGGTACATCAAAGCTATTTAACGCTTCAAATACCTCCGGAAGCAGTGTGGTGTCGTAGATGATGTCGGCCATAAACTGCATTCCTCCGTTGGTTGCATCATATATCCGGTAGGTGGCCTCTGTGATTATGCCAAAGTTCTGGCCGGCCCCTCTTAGACCCCAAAAGAGCTCTGGGTTTGAGGTGTTTGAGACAGTGATGGTCTCGCCGGTAGCGATGGTGAGCTCGGCGGAGAGGAGGTTGTCAATCATCAGGCCGTGGAGGCCCTGGAGCCGACCGTGGCCTCCACCCAGCGTCGCGCCGAGGAGACCGACGCAGTCGCAGCCACCAGTTGCTGTAAAGCTTGTTAGTAGGAGCATTCCAACATGGCAATATATATGCCTGAAGTAGGTAAGTTTTGAGTACGCACGAGTCTCCTTTCCAACAGCCTGAAGCGCGGCCATGATCTCACCAATATTAACACCCCCGCCGACAGTGACCGTGTTTCCGGCGGTGTCTATATCGATATCGAGAAGAGTGGAGATGTCAATCATGAATGCGTCTTTGATGCGGTTAAGCGACTCGGACCACCCATGGCGACGGTTCCCAGCAAGGACCTGATGGTCCGTTTCTAGTGCATACTTGATCTGTTATACCATGAGTGATTTAGTGAGCACACGTATAATACACCTAGGCTGACATTGATCCAGAAGAGCCAGATGTCAATTCAGGGGCAAGGGCCCATATGGCCATACATACAATCTCACCGACGTCCTCCCCCGCGCCGACACTAACAAAGGCAGTGAGCTGGGGGTGAACGGTGCTGTAACGGTAGGTAAGCTCCTTAAACAGCGTGCTGTTGTCGCACCTGAGGGCAATGGTTGCATTAGGCGAGAGGCGGGGCCCCAGGTCGGTCCTTATACTGTTGGGACCAGGAGAGCAGGGGGCGTTTTCACAAGAAGCTTCAGCAACGGCCGCAAAGGCCACAGAAACTGCGGTGAGGACACTAGTAAGGAGTCTCATGGTTGATGATGTCCGTGGAGAGGAGAATAAGACTGTTTTTCTTTTTTTTTTTTTTTGGGGGGGGGATTGTGGGAGTAGATATATACACACTCGTACTCACGTACCAGTATGTACAAGTATATAGCACTTGTTCATGACCACTCCGCACTACCCCAGATCAGGCCTATGTTACGCACCACACTCCACCTCGTACTTAAGGTTCGACTGTCTCAGCTCGGCGGCCAAGCACAATTAAAAGTGCCCCACATGCCACATGGCGAGCAGATCGGCCTGCACTTGATCATCGACCGTGATTATCTCAGTTTCATTTGTGTCACCATATATTGACAAAGTAGATCAGTAACTAGAGTACCTACCTAGAGTACTCTACGAACCTGTGTAGGTAAAGTCAGAATCTTACAACGGAGGTCCTATACCTAACTGGCAGATCATTGGCCAATGCAGTGAGTGAGGTAATCTTGGCCCGGAATGCTTACCGAGCTAGACAGCATAGTGGGGTTGAGGTGCATGGGCCCGCACAGCCTTGGCACACCTCTATCTGTCATTGATTAAGATTAACCAGGAATAGTGCAAGGGCCGATACGCTCACCACCAGCCAAGAAATCCACTATCCTGTAATGATAGAGGGTATATCCGGGCCATGGAGGAGAAGGCTCGGCCGTGTTTTTGGTGACTTGTATTCTTAGGTCTAGGGTGGACATCAACGGTTCCAAGAATTGAGGAATTGGTGATTGGAAACCGCTGGTATCACCAACGTCTCATTTTGCAGACATAGACACATAAGGAATACTACGATAGAGGTTGTAGTATTCGGAGCATACCTAATGTTACATTATATCCGAACTTGCCCTGTGCATTTTTCATATTCCCTCGAGCATTACGGAGATAGTGAATTCCCCGATACCTAGCCCACCTCGCCCGAACCCCTGGGCTTAGGCCGGAAAGGTGGAACAAATCGATGGGAGGATTTTGAAATGTCCTAGAGTACCGTTACGCGTATGGAACACGGAACCATAGAAGCTCATTCGTGCACACTCCCGCGGATTAGAGTATAGTAGGTGTTAGTGGACCTGCTGCATGCAGCTGGACTACTTGCATACCAGCAAAAGAACCACAAAACGCGGTTTCTCAGGGCAAGGATACTTTGTATGGAGTGGCGCCGTTCTCTCATACAAATAATCCCTGTTTCCGTCACTTGCATTCTCTGGTTCTTTAATTTTGCTGGTAAGCAAGTACATATATACCCTAGAGTAATAATCGCCCCACCTTTATGTAACGGGCATGTGAGTAAGCGCACAACATGCTTATCGCTTGGATTACTACGTCTTCATTGTTTTGTCATACCTTAATTCTACCTCATGTGCCGTACGTGTAAGTGATGACTGCAGCTGTAGTTTGCGGCTGAGACAATTGCAACATTAGACCTGGGAGGTAACTGCCTGGCATTCGGAGATCCGTAAGATACCGGTTAGTGAGGAGTAGTAAGCTAACTCCAGTCACTTGGACATATGCATATTGCTACGATGGATTCGACGTATTTGCAACTATGGATTCGACGTATCTGCAACTACTGCGTGGGGCTTTTCCTCTTGGTCTTGGTTTGTCGTTAACCACATGCCAAGCCTGTAATCATTCGGCGCTGGCTTGGCGCTTTTTCGCACACATGCGCGACCGCGAGTCAAACATAGGGTCTCCACTCTACAATTATGTGGGGAGGTTCAATGGAGCCTTTGGCCCCCCCCATGCTGATCTACCGCCATCCATCTCCCCCTAAACCTTTGGAGGCCTTCGGCCCTTCTACCTCTGTCAGATGGCATAAACTAAATAAGGGCAGGAATAGGTTATCCTTTATAGATGGAACCACAAGATAATCCACTTTAATCCTGCGTAATGTTTCGTCACAAACTGATGTACAGTACGATGCCAGTCGTGAGCGTCAGGCGCAACTAGATTTCCACAACCTTTTCACGGCGGGTTAGTACACAAGATATTAAATGTCAAATTATTGTTATTTATCTACTATTTAACAACTATACAAAAACCCAGCTCTCCAAAGGATCAATTGTGGTTGCTGTGCTGGTACCCGTGATGGTTCGGGGGGCGTGGCGACGCCGCGCCTGACGCTCACGACTGGCATCGTACTGTACATGTATACGTATGCATGGTACGCTCGCCCACTCCTACAATCAATAGGTATATGTGTAGGGGGTGTCAACGGCTTATAGCTTCGTAACCAAAAAGCTAAAAGTAACTGTGTGGTAATAATGATGAGCTTCAGAGATCTTTATCTTACTTGTGAAGTGAAGTTATGAGCTTGAAGCCGGATGTCTAATATATTCCATTTCTTCACTTTCCCGACAGCTGGTTGGTCGAGAGCGAGGAACCCTAACCCACATGACAGCCAGCACCCCGAATTGAAGTTATTGGTGGGCTTGGCGCAGGTTAGGGCGATATACCGTTAATTCTCGCCAAATCCACTATCTCCGCATAGGTAAATGGTATGTCCGGACCAAAGAAATGGCAGCATCAGTAGGGTTTCTGCACATTCGCATGCCGAGCCTTCTTTTCTTTGGTCCGGACATACCATTTACCTATGCGGAGATAGTGGATTTGGCGAGAATTAACGGTAATCTGCCTGGGTCAATGATATGTTATCTTGTCTTGGCACCAAAGCCAATGATCGACTGGCCCGGTGTTAGTGCATCTATTCTTCGTGAGTCGTAACGGCATTAGATCACTAAATCGATCTCTAATTCACAATGTTTCAGGGCTAAGGCCGTTAACTCATCTAAAAGTGGATTTCCCGAAAGTGTCGTACAAATGTATACTGTCCAAACCTTTTCTCGTCAAATCAGCAGTATGTGTAAACCAAGCAAACTTGGGATAATCGCACTCGCATTACGAGGGGTGGGTGTTTAAGTCGCTTTATCTGAAACCTTTTTCCCTGCCTTTCTTCATGCATTGTTGTTGCGTGGATCAAGATTCTTGCGCGGTTTTGTTGTACAATTGTTAAAAGACACGTTTCTGCAGGTAATCTTTTTGAAATGGCTACATGCACAGCATGTAAGTCGGCAGGCTGGCCGATTGCGGTGGTCAGTGAAAGAGAATCTAGCGATCGGAGCCACATCCGTACACCCCACTACCGTCACATGGACAACATACCATGGCCTAACGATTCCCTCTGTTTCAGCCTCCCAGTGGGCGCGCGAGTGCGAGGACAAAACCGTCAATCCCGGCGCTTCCCATGCCTGATCAGCCACATCCTCTCTGTCAACATCCCCAATAGCCGCGCCCACCCAGTTTCCATAAATAATCTCTATCTCCCCCGGTACTGGGCGCAATATGTCCTCCCCCGACCTAGAATCCAGAATATCGAAAAGTTTGTAGCCCCTGCCGGTCTTCCCATCCCGGAGTACACCCCCCCGCCCATGTCCTAGCGCCGTCTTCTTTAAAAAGAAGACCAGGGTCGATAGAATTTATCTCGTTAATGGAGGGTACAGATATCCCACTAGCATGGATCGTGTGAAAGCGAGATTGTGTTAACAAGGGGCGAAGGGGGAGCCCAGATGGAGGACGGGAGCAGGTGCTTTTTGTTGCGCAGACCAAACGTGCAGGTAAACAGTACACCCCAGGTGCCACGACCTTTGGGCTCAGGAACCCAGGAAGGCTCCGTTGCAGTGTAATTATTCTTTGCCGAAGATAGTGCGACGAATATCAGACAGAGGTATAAAGGTAGCTGCATATTGTTCTGATCGATAGTAATTTGAGCGGAGGATTTAGATTAGATGTCGAGATTATCCGGATCTCCGGCTATTTATGTTTAAGAAGGTCTTCCCAGAGTAAGTATCTCGTAGTCGACACCGAAAGAGGAATATGAAATGATCATTACCTGACGAGCTCAAGGAGGCCGGTAAGCTGAAGGTGAGGTTATATTATGGGTAGTAATAGTCGGTGTTGTGGTCCAAAGATAGATGGCGTATATATATATACGTAGGCCGCGTCACCCTGGCAAACAAAGTGTTTTCCGGAAGTCACTCTCAGTCTCAGGGCTATCACAGTAACGAGATTCTCTACACTCTACAGTATATAGAAAAGAATCAGTTTATGAATCAAAATATTTTGGTGTGAAATGTATCGGCGGAAATGTGCTTGCAGTGGAGCTGAATCAATTTCTGGTGTAGAAATGAATCAGGAAATGAACTTTAAGTTGCATCTATGACTTTTATTTACACATACACATTTCCTTTGTGTCAAATTAAATGCTTCGGAAAGGTGCTAGTAAACCCATCCTGGTTTTCTCTCGAAATGAATCAGGAAATGGACATTATACTATATAGCTAAAATAAAAATAAAAAATCGTACAGGGTTGAACCTGGGCTACTGCGATTGAACAGTCCACGTCTTATCACTTACGCGCGCTATTGATAATTGATATACTAAGCTTTGTATCTTTGGCGTATCAGGGTGGGTCGGCTGTAGCGGCAAAGAGACATCAGAAGCCTGAGGGACTTCAGAGAAGGCATCGGGGGTGGCATAGGGAGGGAAGTTATGGTACCCGACCACAGCCTGTTGAAAGGCGCTAGAAAAAGAATAAGAAAAGGCATTTCTAGCTGGTCTAGGTGCAGCTCGAGGGAAGACATCGGAAAACGCACCAAAAAAGGCGTTAAAAAAGGCATTAAAAAGGGCATCAGAAAAGGCAATTCTGCTACCCACATAGCCAGAGAAAGGCGTTAAGAAAGGTCCCAGAAACTATACCGGACAAGACATCAAGAAAAGGTATCAAACAGGCATCGGAAATGATATTTCTGGTCCAGGCGCAGCCCGAGGAAAGACATTAGAAAAGGCTTTAAAAAAGGCAGTAAAAATGACATTAAAAATGGCAGTAACCAAAGACCGCCAAGAGCAGCAAGGTACTCGCCGATACAGGTAGGAGTATTCCGTATAAAAGAAAAGGCACAAGAAAAGGCACATGAAAAGACACAATACAAGTCACCAGAAAGAACATCTCTGGCCCCGCATACTAGCCTGGGAAAAGGTATCAAAGAAGGCATCGGAAAAGCCATTTCTGATCCAGGTGCGGCCCGAAGAAACATATTAAAAAAGGTATTAAAAAAGGCATGAAAGAACGTATCGGAAAATAGCTTAAAAAAGGTGGATTTCTAGCTATGGAAATGAATCCCTGGATGCATTTCCACTACCCCTCCTATGAAAACGAACCAATTGATTCATTTACATAGCTAGTAGATATTCGTCTCTATATATTTAAATTTAATGACTTTTCAGGCACAGGCAAATTCCGATCTTAGTACACAAGTGGACGTGCGAATTATTTATTCCATTACTACACGCTTATATCTTAATCATTATCACCAGCTTGGTAGTATCAGGATCATCTGCATACACAAATACCCGTTCATGCGCAGGAAGCTAGGTTTACCTTTACCGGCTAATTAGAGTCTTGTAGACGGTGACTGTAGAAAGCTCCAAAGACCATTGCGCATATAGGTTGCATATGACATGAAAGTTTTCAACCCACTAGGCCCGACTCGGAAATAGGCCCCAATTAATCTTGATACTTTTTATTTTCGCTGGAAGGTTTCTGGTACTACGTAAGACAAGTTCCCTCCATGATCGGGTATTGATAGCACTATCATGGCTTCCTTCTTTTAGGGCATTTCGTTAGATATTCCTATGTAAGTCTCACATAGAAGATTTTAAAACAAAAGCTTTGTCGGAAACCTTTACCCACAAACAACAGGGAATATGCGGACAGAAAACGAGTGGGTTAGCCCCTTGCTTGACACAATATTATGGCCTAAAAAAGGTTTCAGAGCCGCGCTGAGGTATTGAAATTAAATATCTATATCACTCATAGGGTATCGTGAGGATTTGTAGTAGAAAATGATAGATCACATTCTCCTTGCCCTCAACTTAGATGTCCTGGAAGTCTTTGGCATTGTTAATCTGTACTGGTTCGTAGTCCAAGGTGGATGATTAGAATTCTACCACGAGCATATGTCTTGGCCTGGCCGAAGTGCTCTCTTGAGGGCGGATTTCAAATCTAACTTGATCATAACTAGTAACATCGCACTTCGCGATATTGTTCATACCGGCGTGTGTAATACCTTGGTGGGCGTCTACCCGAAGATATTGAGGTTTTGCGCTCATCCCTTTTATTTCAGGCCTTGGATTAATCCGTCCTAACCGCGTGGCATACCGGTGCGCGCGTAAGTGGCTTTCATATTACTCCTTGTTCACCAGCTGGGTGACTATTTCTTCAATATATCATAATTCATGATCAACCCGACAAAACCAATCTAGACGTACTCCCGCATGGAAAGCCCTCACGCGACATCGCCACTATTCTTTCTTGTGAAGAGTAAAACAGTAATCAACTGACAATCATTCTAATCTCTTCGCGCTTTTTCTTCTGTTGAGGGTCAATGATATACGAGCATGTTTGAAGTGTTGACCAATAATATTTCCAGACGGTTTTTGGTTAGCGGCCAGGGCTTGTGGCGCCACACCCCTGCGCCACGGATAATCCCTAGCAGTCCCGTGCTCATGTATCACCGGGTTTACACGGAAAAGCTTATGTTGACCACATTTCACAAACTGGATAACGTGACTTACAACGCAAGCCTGTTTTGTTTGGGGAAATGGCCAGTGCTAAGCGATAATTCTGTAGCGTTTAAACTGATGATATTGTAAACCGGATTCCCTTGACTTGATGGTTTTTTTCCTTCAAGTCGTCGCAGAGTCCTGCCCTATTTATACATGTTGGAACCTACGCCAAGGCCCGCTTTCTAATACTAACTGATACAACGATAATAGAATAAGACAATATTCCCGAGGATAACCCAGATAGAAAAGCGCCCCCGCATAGTTCCGCCCCTATTCTAATTCCGACACGTAACCGTGAACCTTGCAATTGCCAGTCATCGGGTTGTATCATACTATTGTCCTAGACCTACTTCCCTAAGTAGAACAGCCTGCAGCCGTAAGCCCCGCTTCCTATTCTATTTCCGGGTGAGACACCCAATAGTAAGCGTGCCGTCACAATAGTATAATACTAGTGTGGTAACACCGCGTGCCCCTACACTACCCGATACCTTTCTATGCTTGTCCCTCGGTTACCCGACCGTCCTCGCATCACGACCCGTCACTCGTATTCCTCACTGTCCTAGACCTCTAGGACAGCGCTCCGTAGTTCCTGTAACAGGTTTTATCATGGTAATCAACTGCATCCACCAAAACAACTCCTAAAATTCAGACAGCAATCTGAACACTCAACACTGACACCATCACGCATATAATATCACGAGTAATATAAGTATCCTCTTTCCTCATTTTCAATGACAACGGCACACCTTTTCTCACCCCCTCTACCACCAAACTCTGTAACACTCGGCCGTCTCGTCGCCTCGAAATGTCACCCCGACAAGAGCAACTTTCTCGACCCACTCCCCCACCACCCCAGCCTCTACGAATGCTACCGCACCCACCACCCCACCTTTTCTGAATCTATAGTGTTAGACGGTCGCGAGGTGTCGGAAACGGAAACAACATTGACAGCCACAGATATAACCACGGTGGACCTTCAAAACGCGGACGACTGGTTTACGCGTCTGTGTTGTGAGGAGACAGTGTGCAGATGGATTGATAAGGTGTCTGAGGGTGGTTGCTCTGTGTATCTTGTTGTGGGCATGCGTACACGTTTCAGAGCGGCCACGGTAACGGAGGTGGGAGAGGGATCTCATTCTGTCGACCAGCCATGGTCAACAGAACAGGGAGACTGGATCTTTGCGGTGTTGTATCGGAACGTGAATATTAACGTCATACCGGACTTGCCGGTTTTGAAAGTCTCGTCGTTTGTTCAAGCAAAGACAGACGGTTCAGCATTATCGATAGCGCCGGGAGATCGAGAGATGGTAAAGTTGTTGACGAGGGTCGAGGCCCTACGCATAAGAAGCTTGTATGAAAGGATTGGTTTTGTAGCGCTTTGGATCGCTGCTGGTGGCTTTCTTGCTTTTTTATTTAAGCAGTTGCTTGAGTTATTACCTGAGCTATGGACTCTGTCCACAGTTTCAGATTACTATTGAATTTATTCCGACACCATATCACTCTCCTTTCTACGGAACCTATCCTTAAATTCTCAAAATTCCTTTTTACATGCTCTTCGGGAATATACATTGCTAAGCTCAGTCCGGCTTTTCTCGCGACTTAACCTATCATACATCACAAGAGGTAGATTACTACATTTAATTTATTGCAATCAAGATTTCTCGCTCTCCTACTTTGGATAACTACATCACTGCAACGGAAAAGAAGGTTCTAGGCAGAAATGCAACAGAGGTGCTCGCGTGGAATCGAATCCCGTCTCCTCTGGCAAACGTCCTCCGGGCCTATTCCTTGCACAGTGGTTGCTGGACCGAACTACTGGGATTGGGTAACGAGTGATAGACTGTGAACCGATAAGGACATCGAGTGATGGTTTATGATTATAACAGTTAACAAGATCCGTCCTTCTCGCATCCAATTCGAAGGTTATTGTAACGAACTAATATTTAAATTTATCTACGAGCTATTCGACTATTTTAACAAGAAAACGTCCAAAATCTACAAGCAGTTCGCGCGAAAACTGGCTGCGCTCAGATATGGCCTGCGCAGACACCCACGGGGCACGGGTGCGAGTGATGGATGGTAACGTTTTGCATTGCTGTAATATTCGTAGAACAGTCAGCTCACTAGCGAATGTTACTCCCCAGATTCTATATCGACTACATATTGTTTGTATACCGCGAATCTCCTAAATCTTGATCCCGCAGAGGTTTTGCTGACATATATCGTATCTCAACACCGTAAGGCCGGCGGCTAAAGAATCGGGTTCTTCTATATTCTCCTTAAAAGCTCTTCCTAGTAAGTTAAACTGGATAATGAACTATTTTACTCCTCCCACGGTGTTCCCCGGCACCACTGCCGTCCATAATGCGTTGGAGACAGTTCACCGACGGCATTTCCGACATTATTCACAACTAGTACTGATCTTATTCCTTCAACATTCATGACATATTCATATGCGCGCAATAAGCCAGAAGTAGTGATGGGCACGAGACAAGGCGAGACCAGACCTCCCCAGGTTTCTTCTCGTCTCGTCTTGCTAAAAGTCTCGAGAATTAGTCTCGAGACAACCTTTCCCGTGCCCATCACTAGCCATAAGTCTATGCAGAAAGAGCCTTGCCCATAGTTGTCCTCATGCTCATAATGTATCGTTGACTGCTAATATCAAACTCTGCTGATCGCTTTGGTGCAGTATCCCCAGTTATATGGTGAGATTACAGACATTTATATCGTTCTACAAAGCGCCAGAGAAGTCAATTTGTAAACCAAGAACTTTATGGCTACGGATAGTTTCTATGGTGTCCCCCCGTCACTAAATTCGGCAGGGTTAGGGGAGTTGTGTTAGTGCTAGATAGTCTATGGCCGGGCATGTATCACTCGGTGTGCGCACGGGGACCACTAAATTTCTAAGAGCTTACACGTGTCTTTCACCATGAGCGAGAGCTGTAGACGAAGGTGATGTCAAGATTATGATGAGAGGGTGTGTATTATAGCTTACATAAAAATAGATCTAGTGCTTTCGCTGGAGGTCTACTTAGCTGATACATTTTAGATAGTTGTCTTATAATTATTTTGAATATAGCGAAATTGATTTTAATTATCCACCATACGTTGTGGCGCAGGTGGATTGACGTGACTAGAATAGTTGTGGGAAATATGGGACATGTGGTGCTTGTGACGGAGGACAGTTCAGAATGGCCACGGTGTCCTCGCTAGCTAGAATTGTCTACAACTTTTCATTAAGTCTTGCTTGCTTTCTTCCCTCTTTTCATGACAATCAAGATAATCATGCGACCTTTAACAAACTCAGCCCCATCTTCCCGCCAGTGATTCACGTAGGACCAAAATCCATCCTGAACGTACTCCTCGTTCGCTCCGGGAGATATATTCAGTATTCACGGATGCCTCATAACATAATTAGCTAAAGAGTACGCCGTTCATTTGCCTTAGCTCACGCTATATAGGAACATAAGACAATCGACCTTCGGTGTCCGGTTACTCCTATTGAGGATGTGCCCTAATCTCCCCCCATATCCCTGAAGGTATAAAGTCAATCTTGGCGTCGTAACATTCCGCTGACAATCGATGTACTCCTGCGCTACCATGGTTTTCACACCATATCCGAACATCCGGACAAGGCCGGATGGTGATTAGGCCTGCTATAATCCAGAGCAACTTGCAGTGACGAGAGATCTCAGATCATATGAGATATATATATATAGCAGCGCATCATAATCTTTAAGTCATGACCTAATTATCACTTGAATATGGCAAACAGATGAAATAGCTTCGCCCCACGGGGCCATCTAGAGGCACATTGGGCCATATCATCAATACCTCGATGGTAGGTAAAAGCACAATATGTACAAGGGTGGGGCACCTCGAGGAAACTCCTTGGTCTTTCCTCGCAGGCCACTGTTAACCGAACTGTTTAGACGATATTTACGGCTATCCCGAATGAAGTTTTGTGGAGAATAAAATGTATAAATAGGGACATTGTATCCCTTCCCTCATCAAGCCTTCAACCCCCACCACCTGAACATATCAATTCTTTGAAAAATTTAAAAAAAAACTCGACATGACTAACGTAAGGAATTCTAATCTTCCTAAGACTACCCATCTCTTTCCCCAACACACTTACGTATTGATCTATCGAATATAAAGAGTGAAGGGTCCTCTATTTATATATAGTGTAAACAAAGGAGAATGTTTAACACGTACGTACATCTTATTGCTTGAACACACAGCTGCAGTATAAAGAACACATGTTGTATTATTGCTGACGTGACAAGAATATGTTCAGTATATATGAATAAAAACTCTGTAGTAAGTATGTAATATTTCTAAGAACAATACTGTTTACTCTACATTCTTTGAGACCTTTTCATCGATACGGATTTCATCACTCATTTCTGAAACCTTATTGAATACTTATCACATGATTTCAGCATTGGAACACTCACGGAGGTGAGATCAAAAGAATTTGTAGCACAGTGGTTTTGGGCCGGATAATAGAACAGTATAGATAGTGCTAATTCTCGATCCCGAGCCTGTTTCCGTGTCCTCAGGTGGTAATCTCTATACTGTCAACCTCTGAAATCTAATATCGATTCTGACTTTGCGTCAGTTTTGATTTTATTAATAGAGGCCTGCATGCGTTGAAAGTTATCTTATACGTGTATCTGGCTGTATTCGATACTTTTTCTATTCCTTTTTATGTAATAAACGCACCCCTTGAAGTAATGATTCGTGTATCATCAAAAACGTACTACACATTATTTCCTGAAACACTGCAATTGCACATACAAAATTCAGCTATATGTGGGTTAAGTATATTTTCCAGATGACTTATCACTCGGAAAAAATATGTGTAGTGATCCCATATATATATCCAATAGGTCATGTAATTTATAAACTCTTAAGCTTTCCCGATGCATTAAAACTCCATTAGAGCCTCCAGAATGGACCAAAACCTCTACCAGATCGACTGTCGCCACAGCCTGGATGCGTTCTCACCGTGATAAGACATGATTGATTAGGAGCAAAGAGTTTCCCGTGCCCGCCTGATTTTAGTAGCTATATATATATACCCTCTCGGCTGTTCCGGTCTCCGAGCCTCAAAGGTAATGGCGAACGTGCCTATCTGCATGTTGTCTGCCTTGCTCTCCCTTATCGTGTTTCTATCATTGATCCTGTGTGGCAGCATTGGTTCGAAATGCCATCTCTCGTTGATCTACGTACATGTAGTATATCTTGTGTTCTAAGGACAGGTAATGTAACATGACAGAACACGGAAAATAATTCAACGAGGCCAATAGAGCAGAATATGCAACAGGACGGACTGTAACGGAGCGATAGATCGAAGAGATAGATCATAGCTAGGGTAATTGCGCAAACTGGTAATGTACTGTATATAGTACCGCCCATCTAGTATTGTAGTATATAATAGCGGTGTAGCTATATAGGGCAAAATTAGATAGTACAGAGCAGATTTCATGGAGACCATAGCGGAATATTCGTCAGGGCCCTGTGTAGCGTAGAAGTATATCCGGTAATACGGTACTTCCGGCTATAACGGCAACGGAGCATATATCGCAACGTAGCAGAAAGCATGATATGAAATATTGATGCTGTAACATGAAATATGATATATTAGGTATGGAAACCTAAGATATCATTCATTCCACAGCTGATGCACATCATGCACGTAGCTATAGGAGGTGTCAAGTGCTTTTGGTCTCGCAGCTAGTATTTGTCTCTTGTTCGTGATGGTCTAATACCTGAGGTTGGTGTCCAAAGTAAGGAGCGAAAGCCTTGGTTGCTTGCTTTATATCCAACGGGAAATACACGCCCATATATACCCTCCTACGGCCACACACAAAATCCGGTTTCCTACACAAGTGGGTCCACGATGTCATTACTCGTCATATCGACGGCGCCAGGATCGACAATTTACTAGGATATCAATATATTATATCGGTTGAGAGCTGTCCACCACGCAGTGCATCGGTGAGAGCCTTCAAGAATTGAACATGACCAGGAAGCTCGGCGCTGGAAATGTTCGCTTTTAATTTTCGTATCTTGCAAACTACATGTACATGTGCCAAAAACCTTAACCTGTCCTAGGTAGTTGCGCATAAAGTACCGAGTGATATCTAATGGTTCGCTCCACCGCCATCAATATATTTAGACAGCAGGCTGGGGGTAGAAAGCGGTGTAAGGGGAGCAATATAATACGGTATTAATATATGGCGAGTTCCCCAATTGGCCAAATCCACCAGGCGCTTATCTGTTACAACTACCCAAACCAAATTAAATAGTTCACATTAAGTAAACTTTCCAGTACCTGCGGTTGTGCCCATATTGGAACCTGAGATAATACAAGCATATATATATAGAGGGTCGCAGATATAAAACCTCTTGACCTTTCCACCTGTGGTTGTTTTTGCAAGCTTAAGGTGATGTTGAAGTTCTTTTCCCATCTAATACCCTGAACGAAGTGAAGGCTATGGGGGTAAGAGCTTATATCGCTCTCTGATTGGCCACTGCATAACAACATATCAATATTCGATTAAAAAATTATAATCAGATCAGCCATATGAAGCTGCGTAGCTGCGAGGAGGCACTTCCTAACCAACTCAAGTTCTTCGTTTAGGGCATACGACTACCCGCGGGCCCTGTAAAATAGGGTCGGAGTCTGGGGGTGTCATGCCGAGTTAGTATATAGCTATACCGAGTATGCAATGTGTATTTCAAAGGGTTTTATTGGCTGGGTTTTGGATGTTTTCTTTTCCTTGAGCTATTGAATAGGGTAAGTCAGCTAAAAAGAAAAGTTATGTTGGGGTTTATCGTTTCTTTTTATTATTCAGTGATTGTGAGATGCTTTTGGTGATTTTGATATATTTGGGTATTGTTTGGTGTTGTTTGAATCTGCTATAAGAAAAAGTAAAAATAATACACTGGTGAATCTTAAGGGTACGGGTGTTTGTGAGATGCGTTTGGTGGTTGTTATATATTTAACTCTCTAGCATGACGAGAGTGTACACCATCGAATATATAACCCCTAAGAGTATGGCGATAGTAGTACAGCAATTGATCAAAGAACACCCCTTTATAACAGGTACCACCAGTATACCTCTACGTGACAGTACACCCCCACAGTAATACTAGACCTCTAGCTTTATTGACATGTAGAGTATCTATTGATTCTTCTTTATTTCATTATCCTTACCGGCCGAAGGCCGGAATAGGCTTGTGCAAAACATAATTGTAACGCAGTATCCGGTTAATCTTGAAAACTCGCTGTGGCTATGGCCACCAAGACCAAAGAGCGGGGGAGCCACTGATGAGGGGTTATGTAGTGACAGCTACCGGCCATGGAACCGGAACTGACTTCCAGATTGGATTGTGACACCAACTAGAGGGGGGTCAAAATGTAACCCGGAGCCGCAGGTCACACAATAGAGAACAAATTGGCTTTAGCTGTGATATTAGTACAGAGAACATGGCATCTAAGTATTATCGTAAGAACCATCCAATCTCTTTTGCAAGGCTCAGCTGAAGTTGCAGAGACAGGAGAACAGAGGGTGCGCTAACATGCACACTTCCAGCTTTGTGGTAGTAACTGCCGGCATCACTCACCCGTTTAAATTTAGCTGTCAGAGTTGTAAGAATTATTGCGATCGAAGGATACGTCAAGTTGAAAGCAGCGATGCAAAATTAGCATGGGGAACACGGAATGGGTTTCGGTCTAGCAGTAAGTAGGTTTGGTACCTGATAAGATCATATGAATTTAACGTAATATGAGTTATTTCGAGTTCTGGAACTAGCTATAAATCATCGTACCTATAGAAGAAATAAACCGATAGATAATAAAACTCATGAAACGCTCTGAAGGTATGCGTAAAAACAATAGAGGAGAGGCTAGGGAATATGACAGATGAGAGAACCTATGAAACACCCGAGCCTTGGGACGACCATATGGATATATACCGACATTGCCAATTAGTAACATCCCTCACTCACAGAATGCGCACGTGCTAGCAAAATGAATTGCAACTGGCGAGTGTTATGATCGGGGATGGGCACTTAGGCATCGACAATAACATCACTCCCACACCTGGCCTCGTGCTGCAAACAGATATCCCCGGGTTGCAGCTCAAGGCACTTCTCACGGTAAATATGTTCCGGGCGACTCGCAAATACCCCGGATTCGCCAATGGACTGCTTGCTCCATACATTGGGGGCGGGACCGGTCCATTGGCGAATGGACTGGATAAAGGGTGATGAAATTGAGTCTTTAAATTAACTCGAGAATGATCTGGGCTCTGCTAGAGCTCATATGGCCCCAATAAGTGGCTGTAGGGGTCGCTGAAGCTGATAGGGACCACAGGATATCACATATCAGGCGTCAATTATTAATACCGAGCTCTTAAGCTCGCTAAAGATCTTGAAGATGCTAATTCTTTTTATAAGTTTGGTCTTTATGGTCGAGAGGTTTCTAATAATTGTAGAGACCGTTCGGGATTGATATAAATCATTATTAGTTGTGAGTGATGAACTGTTTGTCCTACTAAAACCAGGCCATTCGCGAATAGACTGGTCCAGCCACAGATGTATGAGCCTAGAAGCCCATTCGCAAATACCTCAAGTCCATTCGCGAATTTCTCAAGTCCATTCGCGAATCCGTCATATCCGCCAACGGCCCGGAACAAATACGTTGGGTCTAAAGGGGCGAAAATGTAATTAGTAATTACTCATATTTAAACTAGAAACAAAGACTAACTATTGCAAGATGGCCCATCTGTGACAATTGTGTTTAAGGTTATGGAGAGCAATGGCCGACCTAGTACCGGCACAAATGTTCCCACAGGCTGCAAGGTCTAGCTGGTTTGAGGCAATCCCTTGGAGAATAGAGTTGCTGTTACTCTGGCTATTGCACCCGCATCCAGGGTTGAATCTGAGTGCCCAAGAAGGGTTAGGACTAACTAGGCCCAAGGCACCATGAGCAATGTTTACGCTCTTGGTCTCGATAGTAGGGGTGACGAAGTGCGTAGGGTGCGCCTCGCTTTTAACAGTATATACGGCTTCAGGAAGAGATCCATGATTACACTAATTGTGTAATTAGTATGTTTACTGTGTCAGTCTTCGTCCCACCTCCTCCCATCGCCTGCATGGGACAATTGGGTGAATTACGGATGCATTCTCACATGCCTGAGACATTCAATGCAATATTTTGTGCATTGCCCCTTCAACTCTAGCTCTGGAATACCTTCCCGGACACATTGCTTAGAGAGATATAGAGGCAGGTCAACTTAGCTAGAATTCAAGCAATGCGCATCAAGACGATCGCTAGCACGCTCACAAGCATAACTACAAGCACAAAGCAGACTCCACTCGCCATTTGGGCTGCTAGTATACAAGATATATGTAGGCGAGGTCGGCGGAGGTGTCGGTATGAATTCATACCTCTTTGACAACGCCGCGGGGCCCGCCGACCGGCCGCCCATTACAGTATAGGTAGCGTCATTATGTTGGGATTAACATACATGTATGTATAATTCTATAAATGTATAGTTCTAGGACATAAATCATCGTATGGGGCGGCCTAGCAACGGGTTTTGACACCTCCCGCCCCATCATGACTACCCACCCAGCAACCACAATTGACCCTTTGGAGAGCTGATTTTTTGTATAGTTGTTCAATAGTCACTAAATAAAGATAATTGGACATTTAATATCTTGTATATCAACCCCTTGCCTTTATAACAGCTCTATTCTCCTATGCATGCTCTCAACTAGCTACCAAATCTCTAGAGAATAAATCATCAGGTAACAGTTCCCAGCAATGAATTAGACCTTCCTCCGCGAGGGGCTCCAATACTCAAGGTGATCTAGTATCATATCCCAAATGGGGGTAGTGTTGATGGTAAAGCTTCTTGAGATGTACTCAAACATGTTCAATGGGATTTAAGTCAGGGAAATAGGTAAGCTAGTCCTCCAGAACATCTACCCCACACTCCTCCAACTGCTGAGTTGTAAGGGTTGTGGTGTATACCTTTACAAACTTAATAGTTAGAGAAAGTATGTAGAGAAAGTAAAGTAATTGATCGTGTTGATTGTTCTAGCTAAGGGGGAATGCCCCGTATTTATACTAAAGAGAGGTAGTACAAAAGAAATACAATGAGTCATGGACGTGTGAGTAATGGAATGACTAATAGGAAAGTGAGTCATACGCCGATGACAAATACTATAATGATAATAATGAGAATCCTCTGATACTATGAAACGTGCCGAGCACCCTATTTCAAGACTTCCCCTTGTGAGCCACAGTGAATAGTAGAAGAAAATAAAACATGTTTGCCCTTATCCAATCCTTTTGTAAGTAAATCCGACACATTCTCATTTGTAGAGATATATTCCAGTTCAAATAATTCATCCTCAAACTGTTCCCGAACAAAATGAAAATGTACGTCAATATGTTTAGACCTTTTGTGAAAGACAGGATTCTTAACCAAAGAGAGAGAGCCGTTGTTATCGCCGCGGAGAATGAAAAACAGGTTCGGTTTTTGTTCCAGCTCGTGGATTGCATTCCTCAACCAGATCAGTTGTCGACTGGTGTCCGAGAGAGCCATGTATTCCGCCTCAGTGGTGGAGGTGGCGACGGATCGTTGCTTACAAGAGCGCCAGGAGATGAGAGCTTCCCCTAGCATGAAGCAGTGGCCGGTAAATGAGCAGCGATCGTCGATGTCGGAGGCATAGCTTGCGTCGCTGTAGCCGATAAGTGCAGTTGGTCGCGTTTTGGCGTAGAAGAGTGACCAATCGAGGGTACCCTTGAGGTAACGGAGGACGCGATGGACTGCAGCTAGATGAGCCTTAGTGGGACAAGAGGAAAATTGCGAGAGCATGGTGACGGTGTAAGCAAGGTCGGGTCTAGTGCCGATTACTGCGTACATGAGTGAACTGATTATCGACTGATAGATTGTTGGATCGTCGATTTCCTCAGCTTCTGTTCCTTTTTGGAGGTGTACGTTGTTGTCGATAGGTGTTGCCACGGGTCTGGATTCATTGGAACCGTATTTGATAAGTACACGCTTGAGATAGGCTTTGTTTGGGGAAATGGCCAGTGCTAAGCGATAATTCTGTAGCGTTTAAACTGATGATATTGTAAACCGGATTCCCTTGACTTGATGGTTGATGATACCCTCAAGTCTTCGCAGAATCAAGCCCTATTTATACATGTTGGAACCTATGCCAAGGCCCGCTTTCTAATACTAACTGATACAACGATAATAGAATAAGATCAAGCTCCCGAAGATAACCCAGATAGAAAAGCGCCCCCCGCATAGTTCCGTCCCCCATTCTAATTCCGACACGTAACCATGAACCTTGCAATTGCCAGTCATCGGGTCGTACCATACTATCATCCTAGACCTACTTCCCTAAGTAGAACAGCCTGCAGCCGTAAGCCCCGCTTCCTATTCTATTTCGGGTGAGACACCCAATAGTAAACGTGCCGTCACAATAGTATAGTACTAGTGTGGTAACACCGCGTGCCCCCACACTACCCGGTACCTTTCTATGCTTGTCCTTCCGTTACCCGACCGTCGTCGCATCGCAATCCGTCACTCGTATTCCTCACTGTTTTAAGTATTTAGAACAGTGTTCCGTAGTTCCTGTAACACTACTCCCCCTTCCTAGACGTCGCCCTCGACCGTTAAAACCCTTCTATGATAAAAACCCTGTGGGAAAAGTCATAGAGTAGGGAAAGGTATCGAGCTTAGTCTCGTCTGTTCCGTTGTCGCTTATGAGCCCGGTCATTATCGATCGCTGGGCCTTGACTTCGCGTATGGGGTCGTATGTTCGAGGTTGGCTGGAAGTTCTCGTCTGCCAATGCCTCCTGTGGCTCGGGTGTTGCCAGTCGCTTTCGTGCGTTCTGTTTTCTGTTGGGGTCTGGGTCCTCACGATAGGGTCGCAGCAACATCTCGTGAAAGACGTCATGAACCTTCCATTCTACCGGAAGCTCAAGGCGGTAAGCCCGATTGCCCACCACTGCCGACACTGTGAATGGTCCCGTGAACTTGTCTGACCACTTGGAGTACCCTCCAAGGTTCCGAGTATCCAGCAAGACCTTCTGACCGATAGTGAATCGCTGTACTGCCGGTCCTGGCTTTGACGCCATCCTGTCGAAGGTCTTCTGTAGCGTGTCTCTCGCTAACTCATGAGCCGTGATGATCTCATCCAAGTAGTTGTTCCCGTTGGCGTCTAATCGTTCGATCTCTGCATCCGTAGGCCAATCCGTTCGAGGGTGGAAGCCATAATTGCAGTAGAACGGCGATTGCCCCGTTGACGTATGCTTCGCATTGTTGTAGGCGTATTCACAGATAGGTAACAGGTCCTTCCATTTCTTGCCTGTTCCTACCGTATATGCCCGAATATAACCTTCCATGTGTTGGTTGGTCCGCTCTGTTTGGCCGTCGGTTTGGGGGTGGAATGAGGTGGAGAGTCTTCTACGAATCCCCAGTCTGTCCGTAATTGCCGCCCAGAATGCTGACACGAACTGCGTTCCTCTGTCTGAGACGATGCTCCTAGGAAGTCCGTGGAAACGCCAGATGTCTTTGACGAATGCGTTGGCGGTTTGTTCCGCGTTGATTCCCGTCATTGGGATGAAGTGAGCCATCTTCGTAAAACGGTCCACGACTACCAATACGTTGCGGAATCCTGATTTCTCCTTAGGCATTTCTACTACGAAATCCATCGAGATATCCGTCCAAGGTGTGGTGGCTAACTCTAGGGGTTGAGGGAGTGACAAGTGTCTCCGACGTTGCTTGGCTCTCTGGCACACGTCGCACGTCTTGACGAAGTTGGCTACATCCGTGGACATTCCTGGCCACCAGTAGTTCCTATCGATCAACTCAAGGGTTTTATCCCTTCCTAGATGCCCCGCTACGGGTCGATCGTGGTGTTCCTCGATGACCTGCTTGACCGCGTAGCCCGGTACTACCCATCGACCATCGTGGGTGGGGTCATTCGAATCGGGACTCCATTCAGCGGCAGGCTCTATCTTTACGATAGCAGCCTCCGGTGGTCCAAAGATCTCAAGGTTTGAGTCAGGGAGGTGTTCATCCGGAACCATCCTCCGAACCCATCGTCTTTCCTGTTCATACCAACCCTGTAGTGGCTGAGGCAGCTCTACGCTTGGTATGTCGTACCACTGATCCAACTGATTCCATTCCTCTTCGGGGTTGCCAATCATCTCAGACCCAGTTTCTATGCTGGTCCGTGATTTTCTGACAAACTGTTCTGCGCTGAGTAGCTGTTTTACGGGCTGCTCACGCATTACTCCCCCTTCCATTGCGAACTCCGGACGCCTTGTGAGTGCATCTGGCTTGCCGTTCTTTTCGCCTGGTCGGTAATGGATCTTGAAGCGAAAAGGTGCTATCTTCTCGGCCCATCTGGCTTGTCTTCTCGACAACTTCTTGGTCGTTGTGAAATACTGCAGGTTTTGGTGATCCGAATGTATCTGGATAGGGATGTCCGTCCCTTCCAGCCAGTGTCTCCAAGTCAAGAGAGCAGAAACTATTGCGAGCATCTCCTTGTCATAGATCTCATAGTTTACTTCTGCCTCGTTGAACTTGCGAGAGTGGTAAGCTACCGGATGTAGAATACCGTCCTCGAACACCTGAGAGAGTACTGCGGCCTCGGCCCAATCACTCGCATCAGTCTCCACGATTGCTTCGCGGTGTTCGTCATAGTGTCGGAGTATTGGAGCAGACGTAAATCTCCTCTTGAGCTCGTCGAACGCGTCTTGCTGTTCCCTGCCCCATTTCCATACAGAACCTTTCTTCAGGAGATCGGTCATGGGTCTGCAAACCTCAGAGTATCGGTGGATGAACCGTCTTAGGAAATTGGCGAAACCGAGGAAGCATTGAAGTTCCTTGACCTTGGTTGGGGCTAACCAACCTTCGATCGCCTGGACTTTCTTTGGTGATACTTGGTTCCCCTTTCCTGATAGTATAAATCCCAGGAATTCTACCTCCTGTTGATACCATTCCGTTTTCTCGAGGTTTCCGTATAGGTGGTGTCGTCGCAGTCGCTCCAAAACTTCTCGTACAAGAGTCGTATGCTCTTCTCTAGTCTTTGAATACATTAAGATGTCATCCAGGTAGACTACTACGCCTTGGTCCAGAAGATCCTTGAATATGGTATTGACCATGACCTGAAACGACGCAGGAGCATTGGTCAAGCCAAAAGGCATTACTCTATATTCGAAGAGGCCGTATTTCGTTCGGAAAGCGGTTTTCCATTCTTCGCCCTTAGCAATCCTAATCAGATTATAGCCATTTTTCAGGTCTATCTTCGTGAAGTAGAGTGCTCCTTTCGTTGCGTCGGCCAGCTCGTTCATGAGTGGCAGTGGATAACGGTTCTTAATTGTGATTCCATTCAAACCACGAAAGTCGACACATAACCGAAGCTTACCATTAGCTTTCGGAACGAACAGGACGGGTGCCGCTGCGGGACTAGTGGAGGGGACTACTTTGCCGGAGGGCAAGTTTTCGTCCAAATATTCCCGAAGTGCCTTGTCTTCAGGTGGGGAGAGCGAATAGATTGGTCCCCACGGCGGCTGCTTTCCTTCCATAAGAGGAATGGTATGATCCCATTCAGAGTGGTCAGGTAGTCGAGCGGCTCCTTCCTTGGAAAACACGTCGGCATTTTCCTGAAACTCCACCGGTATAGCACTAACGAGAGCCTCGTTTACCGATGCTCTTGCCCAAAAGGGGTGTTGCTCGATCGTCATCTGCTTCTTGGGTGACGCCCTCAACAGCCTGATGACCAGCTCTTCTGGGTCTTGATCGTATATGTCTTCGACTGATACGAAGCATCCATTGACTATACAGTTGTTGCTATGGAAGCTAACACTGTTGAGTCCCCAATGGATGGTTGGTTGATGCTCCTTGAGCCATCGATGTGGTATGACGAGGTCCTCTCCTGCAAACGAGCCAACTTCACAGGTGATAGCCCTGTCCAGATGGTTGCCGATGCGGAGGGTAAGGGGTTGAGTGATGTGGGTGCCGGAATTGGGCATAGGGGTGCCATCGGCCTGTCTGATGATGAGAGGCTTTGGTCGAGGTTGGGTGGGTATTTTCGCGCGGTGGATACAGTCCCAAGACATGATCCAATCTTCTGTGCCACTATCCAAGAGTGCGTTGACTGTTGCGACATGTTTGGTACTAGTTGCGGGGTGATCCCAAGAGATCTCGATCTCGAGGCGGGTTTCTTGTGTGTTGGAAGACATGTTTGTATGTTGGTTTGATAAAGGTTTTGTATTGGTTCTAGGTGTGGTTTTCGATGATTTTTTCTTCGTTGAGCGCGGGGTGAGGGGGTTTATATAGAGAGTTCGAGTGTTTGATGAAGATCATGGTACAACACTTACGCACCAGGCGTTTCGGGGTGTAACCCCATCCTCAGAGTGTGTGTAAAGAGAATTGAATTTCCGCGCGTGTAGCAAAACAAATATAGAAAAATCCCGTAGCCAACCGATAAGAATAACCGTAGTACATAAAAACCTTGTTTCAAATAACCAAAAAGAAGAAACCGTAACGCAGTATAAAACACCGAAAAATAGAAATACCCAATCAATTTTGATCCTCCAAAGTTGTAATCCTTGCCCTAAAAGCCTCATTCTGGGGGCCCAATTTCCGCTTCTTTTCACCCTCCCTTCCGTGGTCCTTTCCTCCGGAAGGATACCGTTTCCTCTTCAGGTCGGTTAACCTGACCTTACTCGTCGCCACGCAATCTTTCGCGAAGTGGTTATCTCTACCACAATGGAAGCACTTTCCTTCCTTTTGCCACTTCTCTTTTTCGTCCTTGGTGACACCTAAGTCATCCGAGGCCTTGGAGTTGTGTG